TGCCTGCCAATACAGAAACAGACTAACCATTTAGAGTGTACTAGCTTTTAAATATCAATGCGTATTATTTCACTTTTAGGGGTTCTGTTTTTATTATTAGTTCATGAGAAGGTAGCATCAGAAGGGGCCTTAGAGGTCCTGATAGAAGAATCCTTCCTGGACATCCCACTTTTTAGTCTTCTATACGATGAAGCGTAAACTCTTACCAAATAGTTTTTTGCATTTGTGAATAGCTTCAGCACCAGAAAATTATTATTATTTTTTTTTAATGAGCTAAACTTACTTTCTTGTAACTTCCGGAATTGGACAGAATTTATTTTCTCTTCCACAGGCCAGCCTTCAAATATTTGAAGACAGATAAGTTCTGTGTCCAAGTTAGGCACCCCTCAGCCTCACATCTGTTTCTCTCCAGACTTTGTCCCCAGATCCTTCTCCATCTTGTGCCCCTCTGGGCGTGCACTCATTGGAAAACCTCCTTTTGCAAACTGTGACACCCTGAACTGATCATAATGGTCCAGATTTGTTCTGAACGGTAGGGAGGTACTGTTTATCCCTCGTTCTGCACATTGTACATCTGTTAAAGCAGCCCACATTTGCACTTGCCTTGTTGGCAGCCACATTCCCCTTTTGACTCATTCTGAAAGTACGGTTTGATGCCCTCGCCTTTTTTTATGGGTTACAAGTTCCTAGAGGGCAGGGACTGTAAGTCCAGACCTCCGTGAGGCATGCACGGTGCCCCCCACTTCCGACCTCTCTCCAGATTTGTTTCTTCCACTCCTATGCAAAAAGCATCACTCCAGCCGAGTGGTCGGTTCACTTGTCTTCCTCACTGCTGCTCCATCCCCAACCAGGCATCAGAATTAACTACAATTTTTTTTTAAATTTTATTTATTTGAGAGAGAGAGTGAGAGAGAGAGCGCACAAGACGGCGGAGGGCCAGAGGGAGAAGCAGACTCCCCGCTGAGCAGGGAGCCCGATGCGGGACTCGATCCCGGGACTCCAGGATCATGACCTGAGCCGAAGGCAGTCGCTTAACCAACTGAGCCACCCAGGCGCCCTTAACTACAATTTTTTTTTTCATAAAATTCAGATATAATCACATCTCTTCATGGCTTGCGAATCTCTGACCCTTCATGTTGTGAAGGCCATACAAAGGTCTTCTTCACGGTGTGGTCCTCGCTCCCTTTCTACACCCCAGCTCATCTTCCTTTTCTTTCTCTCTCCCCTGTCCAACCAAGAATAATTGGCCCTCCTCTGGGAACAGAGAGCACATCGCCAGCATAGCACTCATCATGGCCCATTTCATGATACTTAGGAGTATGTGTTCCCTGCTAGATTCTCGATGCCTTTAGGGTGTGGTTAGTGTTTCGTTCATCTTTGTGTCTCAGCCTAGCATCAGGCCTGGCATGGAGGAGACTTCAGTGAACGGTGGTTGAATGAAGGGGTGCATGGGTGGTCAGTGGATGGGTGTGTGTGCCCTGTTTCCCACCTAGACTCTAGTCTTTGAGGGCAGGGCTCAGGGCTGCGCCACATCCTAACTGCATCCTGGGAGGCTTGCAGTGAACTCCGGGTCACCCATGGCCCCTCTAGCCCAATCCCTGCCTGCTTTGAGCGTGCATCCTTGGGGAGCACAGGTGAAGATATACATAAATGTACATGCGATTTTCAAGCTTGTCTCATGATTCTTTCTTCTCTGTCTCTTCTCCCTCCCTCTTATTCTCCAATGCTGTTCTCCTGGTGCCTGCCTCCCCAACACCTGCTGTTCCTTCCCTGTCACCGGCCTCTCTGCAGTCAGCGTCTGCGTCCCTGTGTGTGTGGAAGTACCCTCGGAGACGGAGGCCGTTCAGGGCAACCCCATGAAGCTGCGCTGCATTTCCTGCATGAAGAGGGAGGAGGTGGAGGCCACCACAGTGGTGGAGTGGTTCTACAGGCCTGAGGGCGGTAAAGATTTCCTTGTATGTCTGGCTGCTGACTCTGGCCTTCCTTTTGCTTGCCTCTGCTGTTATGTGCCTGGCTCCTGAGAGTCTGGGGAACGAAAATCTGACAAACACTGGCTCTTTCTTTTCAAAGCACTGACAGCCCCCCAGCAGATGACTGACAGCCCAGCTCAGCTGCAAGCGTTCCTGGTTACAAGCAGGGCGAGGGGGAGAAGAGAGAAATAGTGCTCGGAGCCTACTGTGCGCTCCTCACCCGATAAGGCGCTTCGCAGATGTTTTTAATTCTCTGCACCAACGTAGTGGATGGATTGACTTAGTAGAAACGTTGAAATGACACTCAGCGTCATTAATGGAATAGCGTAGGTTAGCTCATTGAAATCTCACGATCCCAGTGAAATAAGAATGATAGGGATGACCAAGCTGCTTTTTTCCCCTAATTTAAATTCAATTAGCCAACTTATAGTACATCATTAGTTTCAGATGTAACGTTCAGTAATTTATCAGTTGCGTTTAACACCCAGTGCTCATCACACCACGTGCCCTCCTTAATGCCCATCACCCAATTACCCCATCCCCCCCCACCTCCTCCAAGCTGCTTTTCAACTGGTATACCCAGTACAGCCGCGTCCATGAGTAAAATATTTAAATAGTTCTTTTTTTTTTAAAGATTTTATTTTTTATTTGACAGAGAGAGAGAGAGTGAGAGAGGGAACACAAGCAGGGGGAGTGGGAGAGGGAGAAGCAGGCTTCTCACCGAGGCGGAGCAGGGAGCCCGATGTGGCGCTCGATCCCAGGACCCTGAGATCCCCCACGATCCGAGCCGAAGGCAGATGCCTAACGACCGAGCCACCCAGGCGTCCCAATACTAAAATAGTTCTATAGTGGATACCTGCTGTGCCAAGCCTCCCAAGTGGCCTCACCACCATCGGTCCCACTAGGAACCTCCAGACCTCCCCATGTTCTAGAGACTAAGGGATCACCCTGACAGAGCAGGGAGCCTCCAAGTCCCCGCCCTGTGCTGTGGCTAATGTCAGTTCTGATTGGTTGTTACATGCTTTGAATACCACCTTGGGGATGACCGTTCCTCAGACTTTCACTGACTCTGGAAACTCGCTGCCTGGGTTTGAGTCTGGATTCCACAACTTATAGGTTCTGTGCCCTGGGACAATTTGCTTTGCCCCTCTGTGCCTCAGTGTCCTCATCTCTAAAATGGGGGTGCAAACCATAGCTACCTCAGAGAATTGTTACCTTCAAAGTTGTTAGCTTTAATTTTTAACGTGTTTAGAATAGCCCTGGAATACAGGAAGCACAATGTGTTTGCTAGAGAAAAGGTATACGGACATAAGTGAGGCGCCCAAAGGAGTTAAGTGAATAAGAGAGCTTAGATTCGAACCAGGGATACAAGGCAGTTTTTACTGCACTGTCCCACCTTCCTGGAGGTAAGTTTCTTCTCTACAAAGACTTAATGGAGACAATAGCAGGGTGGAGTTGAGTGCTCCAATCGGGTATCAGCACTGGGGGCAGTAGACTTCCCTGAAATCTCGGGGTTCACTCAGAGTTGATGGTGACCGGGCTAGCCCCCAGGTTACAGGAACCCGGATGCCTGGACCAGATGCGAAGGCCCGCATTGACCTCAGGCCTTGTTGTATGCCCGCCACCGATTCTGCTGCCGGGTCTGCCCAAAGTGAGTAGAGGCTGACTCAGAAGGACGAAAAGAAACTTTAAAAAAGTTGTAGTGTACATACAAAGCACTGCTGTCTCCGAGAAATTTTTGTGACAGTGGGAATGTTCCGTACTTGGACTGTCCGATGCAGTAGCCACTGGCCACAGGTGGTCCCCGAGCCCTTGAAATGTGTCTAGTGCAACAGAGGAATGCAATTGTACATTTTATTTCATTTCTAGTCATTTAATTTTTAATGTAAGTAGCCACGCATGCCAAGTGGAGACTAGAATGGACAGTACGGCGGTAGAGAATCAGAAGGTGGGGGTGTCTGAGAAAAGAAGTTTTGAGACCGTATTTCCGTTCTAATTCAGCCCAAAGTGAAAGACCTGAGGTGTGCATATCAGTTGGCAGCTCTGCTCATCTGTGACACTTTTTGCGTCCTGGGTCCCCTTCCTGTGACCTGACCCCGACTAACCACATCCTCTCAGTGAGAACCAGATCAGAGCGTCAAGTTTTGAGGTCAAGACTTTCAGATGCCTTCGTGATTCAGGAAGCTGCCTTTCTCGGTCTCTGCTCTGTTCTCTCACCGGCTGCGCCCATGACACATCTTACTCTCTCTTGCTCTCTCTCTGTCTCCTTCCAATTCTTCCTTTCTCTCAATATCCCCCTCCTGGTCTCCTGTATGCTTCACTCACCGTTTAAAAAATTTTTTTTAAAAGATTTTATTTATTTATTTGAAAGAGAGAGAGCATGAGCAGGGGGAGTGAGATGGGCAGAGGGAGCCCAATGCGGGGCTCGATCCCAGGACCCTGGGATCATGACCTGAGCCGAAGGCAGACGCTTAACGACTGAGCCACCCAGGCGTCCCTTCACTCACCTTTGTTTGTTATCTTCCTTTGCACCTCTTTTTTCCTGCCATCCTTCTTCCTGCCTCCCCCTTTCTGCCTCTTCTTTTGCTGTGTCCATACGCCCCAATACCTGTTTACCTTTGCTCGTCTTTCCCTGCCCTCCTCTGAGCCTGCTCATCCCACTCCCACACTAGGGATCTCCCCTTGTAACACTGTCCCCTTTCTTCCCTGTTGGGGCACAGTTCTGCTCCTGTGCTCTGCCCTGTCCGCATCCTGGCTCTCCTACCCAGTTTTCTCTCCCGGCCCTACTCTCTTTTGCTTCTCTACCTGCAGATCTATGAGTATCGGAATGGCCAGCAGGAGGTGGAGAGCCCTTTCCAGGGACGCCTGCAGTGGAACGGGAGCAAAGACTTGCAGGATGTGTCCATCACTGTGCTTAACGTCACTCTGAACGACTCCGGCCTCTACACCTGCAACGTGTCCCGGGAATTTGCTTTTGAGGCACACCGCCCCTTTGTGAAGACTACACGGCTGATCCCCCTCCGAGTCACCGAGGAGGGTGAGGCTGGGGCACAGGGTCTCGGGGGTGCCCTGCTCTTGGCGGGAGGGAGGATAGTGGGTTTCCACACAAATGAGACCCTTGAGGAGTGCAAAACCCGTATATTGGGAATGGTGATATCTAAAAATGTCACCATTGACTTGTCTTCCTTTAGCGGTCAGCTTCCTGCAAGCTGCCTGACAGCTTGCCTCTCGGTGCCTTTCTTCAGAGTGGAAAGGCTCAGAGATGACGACAGAATGACCTGTTCCTTCACCCTCTAACTCTCATCCTTAGAGAAGGAGGACAGCCTCCATGAAGCCTAAAGGTGCCAAATCAGCAGCACCTGCTTCTCTGGCTTATGTTGAATCCCTGACTCGATGGGCATAGAGAAATCTCATGAGGTTATCTAGAGGTCATCAAACCCTCCTGTATGTAAGCCATACATATCCCTGAACGGGCCGTGCTCAAACTTCAGCAAGCCTCAAAATTCCCTGCAGGACTTTTTAAAATGCAGACTTTCTGATTCTGTAGATAGAGCCTGGGAATTTGCACGTCTAACCAATTGCCAGGAGATGCCCGAGCTGCTGGGGACCACACTTTGAGAACCACTGTTCTAAACCAAAGCTTGACAGCCTTTTGTCTTCTTCCCCCCCCCGCCGCCCCTCCCCCAATAATCACACAAGCAACCCTCCTTCCCCATCCCTGGCATCTCTCATTACATAACCTCATTCTCAGCTGGGAGAAAAAACTTTCTAGTCTTTAGTTGAAAATCTTCAGATTTCCCACAGCTAGTTTCTTGTTAGGGGGACGGGGAAGCCCTTTCCTCAACCCAACTTAAATGTTTCTCTTTTAATCCAGTCCAGAATTGTGATGGCGAGGTTTGAGTGTTCTCATGCAGGGTTCTTGTTGTGCTTTCAAGGGACTCCGGGAACTGTGGCTCCCAGCCCCTTGCAAACACTCCCTCAAGTGTCAGAAGACTGATACATGCACCTCCTTGTGTGTTTTCTCATCCAGGTTAAACCATGGTTCCATTTTTCTTAGCCTCTTCTCAGGCATTCTATTTCCAGCATCTTCTTAGCATTAGCTGCCCCAAGATGCAGAATGGTGAGCAGGCAATAGGTGTGGGGCTTGAAAGAAGAGGTCAAAGTCAAGATAGGGCTCTTCCTAGGATTCCCAAGAATCCCAACTTCCCCACCACAAGCTTATTTTTTTTCTCATGTTATTGTGATAGAATTCATAAAGCAAACTTGAGAGCGAATGGCAGGGCAAGAGAGGTCACGATTTTGTCCTGATGTGGACAATATGATTTTTTTCTTAAAGATTTTATTTATTTATTTGACAGAGAGAGACAGAGCAAGAGCAGGAACACAAGCAGGGGGAGTGGGAGAGGGAGAAGCAGGCTTCCCGCAGAGCGGGGAGCCCGATGTGGGGCTCAATCCCAGGAACCCTGGGATCATGACCTGAGCCGAAGGCAGACCCTTAACGACTGAGCCACCCAGGCACCTGGACAATATGATTAAAACGGAAGGTAGGTCAGTTCTGAACGTGCAGAAGCACTCACAGACCGCTGACATTTAGACCTGATGAGCCATTTCCCCCTCTGAGCCCATCTCCTCTTGTGTACAACGAGTAGGTTGGACCGGAAGCTTTCCAAGGTATTTTTCTGTTCCCAAGTTCCATTATGCTCTCTGTTTACATACCTCTCCCCCCCGCCCCCGCCCCGGGGAGGAGAGGCTAGCGCCCTCTGCTGCTCACCGTCGGGAACTGCAGGCCGCTGTCGGCCAGCTCCTCGGAAGGTGTCTGTCTCCACCCACTGCTTTCTCAGGCTTTTGCCTCCAGAGATCCCGGCGCAGCCAGTGGAAAGTGTGGCAAAGCTGAACCAGTCCGCCTGCTGGGCACCAGAGCAAGGCTTGGGTGAGACTAGAAGGAAACCAAGTTTGTTATCAGACCCACAGAGCCTCTTGGGGTGCTAGGACTGGGAGGAAGCTTGGCTCTCACTTCATCCAGGTGTTCTGAACAAAGAGCAGGCGTCAGAATCGCCCAGGGGGCTTGTCTTCATCGTGGACCTCCCCGTAGCACTCTTGCGGGTATGAGTTTGGTAGGTTGGAGTGAGGTCTGGCGTATGTCAGTAGAAATGACTCCCTTGGTGATTGGAGGGTGCAGCTCTGGTGCCCTCACTTTGTGGCGGGGAGATCAGTGAGGGTCTTGCCTAGAGACGTGAAGCAAATTAGCACCAGACGCAGGACTACAAGCCAGATCTTTTGCCCACCGGGCTAGCTCTATGTCCACTGCATCTTTTCCTTCTACCACCATCCCATTCCCTGCTACTCTTTCTTTCTTCTCCTTCTTTTCAGAACTTTTTTCCCTTCCCTCTTCCCTTCCCCCTTCCTTTCCCTTTCCTCCCCTTCCTCTCTTTCTCTTCCTCTGTGACCCCTTGGCAGCCTTTGAGAATACCTCCCCCCCAGATACTCACTGCTCTCATAAGGCTCAGAGCTCCACGCTCCCCCGTGACACACCCCACTGCATCTCCTCCATTCCTATGGTCTCCCAGAATCTCTCTGGTTCTCTTTGTTCAAGCTGAAATTATCCTACCTTAAGCTCTGCCCTCCTGGCTCTAAGACAAAAATCTGAGGTCTCTTCACCTAGAAGTGACTAAAAAGAGTGAGCACAGATACCTTCCTGTGTTACTACTTCTGGGCTATTACATTTAAAAAGTGCACGCTTTAAGAAGAATACGTCATAAATCAGGTAGTGTCAAGCCCACGAAAAGACGTCTGATGTGTCTGGTGTTCTTCCGTGCCTCAAGCGGCATCTAAGCGGCATCTGACCTCCAGCTCCAGGAGGTCCAGCATCCAGGAACCCTGGACGATCGTGGAGACTTTGGACTGCTTTTCTGAGCTGAGGGTCATGGCTATGACTATTCCGTGCTTTCAGTGAGCTAATGAGTGAGGCCTTATGTATGACTGGGGCCTCTGAATAGCCAAGGACCATGAATCTAATTTACTGGTAGGAGTTAGCAACGGGAGATGTGGCTACAGCCTTCCTTCCCTCTAGAAAGGAAGCTCTCTCAGGACATTTGCCATATATCATGTCCTTTTGGTTGGCCGTGAAACAAAGATCAATATTTATTTATATTCATTCATTCAGCAAACACTTCCTGAGTACTTCAAATATTCCCGGATGAGACGACAGGCTGATAATTCAGAAATAAGCAAAATATGTTCTTAATAAGCCCGCCAAGTGAGCAGAGAAGAGGGAGAAATGCATGATAGTACACCCTGAGAGGTGTGACGATGGACGGGTGCGGAAAAGCGCACGGACACACTGCCTGAGAGGCTGAGGAAGGTTTCACAGACGGGGGCCCTTCAGTGGCATCGGGGAGAATGCTCAGGGGACTGAGAAACAGGAGGGGATATTGAGACAGAGGTAGCAGAAGGGAGCGCAGTACCATCGAGGAAGAGGAAAGGGAATGAAGAGATGTCCACAGATCCCAAGAGACCACAGTGTGTATGGGAAATGAAGTTTTGCCAGTGCGTCGAATGGCAATGAGGAGAAAAGGGCTGGACTGTGAATGGTCTTACATGTTGCGCTAACAGAGTTTGGTCTTTCTCCTGAGGGCAGCCGGGAACATGGAGGGTTCTACACGTGATCAGATTTGTGTTTCAGAAAGCCCGGTTAACACATGGAATGCTCCAATTCTCCTTTCTGTTTGGGTTTGGGATGATGTGGAAGGAAGACGGCCTGGGAAGGACCCTGTTTCCAAATCCAGACTTGTAGAGAACACGCCCCAGCTCACCGGGCCGGCTGACTGCCCTGGCCCCGGACATGCTTCCCACGCCGTCTCCCCCTGCCACGCTAAGGTCAGAGGACCCGGGTGGTTGAACTGGACACGTTCCTCACATCTGTGTAGACCTTCACACCTCACAAGACGTTCTGGAACACACTAGGTAATGTAATGGTGGGAAATGTTACCCTTACCTTACACTGTAGGGAGATGAGTCTCAAATAAGGGAAATGACTCTTCACATAAAATTGGGACCCAGCTCTTACATCTCACTCAGCTCCGGGATTCCTTCCACCGCTCTGTTATTTCTTCCTCCACAGCCCCCACTCCAGAACAAAGTCGGCGAGAAAGTGGCCAGAGAGGAGCATCAGAGGATATTAAATCCCTCTGACATCTTCTCAAGCTCCTTAGCCCCGGGGCTTATTTAAGCCCCACTTGAAAATAGGGCTCCTATATCTCGGAGCCAGGGACAGATCTGGCTTTGTTGGGCATGCATATTCTGAGCCTCACTCTCCCCCTTGCAGCTGGAGAGGACTTTACCTCTGTCGTCTCAGAGATCATGATGTACATCCTCCTGGTCTTCCTCACCTTGTGGCTGCTCATTGAGATGATATATTGCTACAGGAAGGTCTCAAAGGCCGAAGAGGCAGCCCAAGAAAATGCGTAAGTTCTAAGATGCCAAAATAATGCTAGCGGCCACCTTCAGAGAGCTTGCTGTCACAGGTGAGGTGCTAAGCAATCGACACACTCTTCCGCTCCCCTCCCTCCAAACCTCGAGGTAGGCAGCACTGATATACCCATTTTCCAGATGAGGAAACAGCCCGGGAGAGTTTGCCCAAGACCATTATAAGAGGCAAAGCAAGGTTTCGATTTGGGCCTGCTGACTCTTAATGGGTACTCTTAACCTCTGATGTAAAATAAAGCCCATAAGCTACCATCACAATCCTATGAAATTAGCATTATTAGGACCATCTTACAGATGCTGAAGCAGGCTTCTAGAGGTTAAGTGGCTTGCTGAGGCCACACAGATCATGAGAGGAGTGGCTGGGATTTAGGCCTCTCGATTCCAAACGTTCATGTTCTTTCTGTCACACTCAGCCATTTGTTGGCTCATCAGGCCGTCTGGGCACTGCCTTTTCTTAGCTAAGGAGCTCCGAGCCACACGTTCTTTGCCCTGGAGCTCGACAGCAATCGAATACCCAGAGTAGGGGCTCTCATTCTTCAATGTCCAGACCTTACCTTGGCCATGTTCACCAAGGCCCTAGTCACTCGGGAGTGAGCGCATCTGAGAAATGATGGGGTCTGAGGGTCTCAAAGGCCGCTCTGGCCTGTTATTCGGGGAGAAGAAAGGACAGAACTGTCACAGATTCCCCAGGCTAGCAACACTGCTGAGGTGATAGCCTAAAAACTGTAGGCAGGTAACATCACTTAAAAATGTTCGATAAAGTATTTTGCATGATACCTATGATCTCAGGAAAGTAAAAATTACAACTGATATAAGGAGAGAAAGTAATGATATGCTGGGGGAGATTGTCATTCCTGGTGAAACCTAGTGCTCAGATTTTAATGCTTAGACAGAAAGTGCCTACAATTGGGCTTGCACCAAAAAAACAAAAAAACAAAAAAAAAAACGGAGTTGGAACTGAGGCCTCCAGCAGAGCCAGGATCCTCCAAAGGCTGCAACACATGCCAAGGACAGATCAGAAAATCAGTCCGCCAGCCTGGGGAAAAACCCAAAGAAACTTACCTATCTTGACCTGACTCCCAAACAGAAACTTGAAAGATTCTTGAGAATTAGTAACCACAAGCCTGTATTCACAATGTTTGGGAATTAAGTTTATACTACCTACATGATCCAGGAACCTAGTCTAAGCTGAGAAATTCAGTTAAAAAATTAGTCCCCAGACAGTGATAACTATGTAGAAGCAAATGGAAAACCATTCTGAAGGGACCCTCTCTCCGCTGAGGCTTACCAGGATTCCCCACGTAAGGCACTGCTGAATCTGATTTCACAGTCTGATCCAAAGCTAAAATGTGGCACAAGCAAGAGAAGGAACAAATGGTAGGATTAAATCCCAGGAACTTCAGACACAAGAAGGACCAAGTAGAATTTTTAAAATAAGTTCGTTTGAAAGAGTTAAAGCAATAGAAGGAGGAACCAAAAGCACAAGAATAGAATCAGTTGCTAATAAAAACAAACAGGCAGAGTTTATTTTATTTTTTAAAGATTTTATTTATTTATTTGACAGAGCGAGAGAGAGCGAGAGCGAGCGAGCACAAGCAGGGGCAGTAGGAGAGGGAGAAGCAGGCTCCCCGCCGAGCAGAGAGCCAGATGTGGGACTCGATCCCAGCACCCTGGGATCATGACCTGAGCCGGAGGCAGACGCTTAACTGACTGAGCCACCCACGCACCCCACAAACAGGCAGATTATAAATAGGAATTTAAGAAATCTGGAAATGAAAAATATAGTCAATAAAATGTAAAACTTGATGGAGGGGTTCACCAGAAGATGAGATACAGACAAGCAGGCCATAAACCTAAGGAAGTTAGACAAAGTGAAGCACAGAGATCTAAAAGGATGGAATATCACAATTAAACACGAAGAAAGAAAATGAGAATACCCATTAGGATAGAACAGACAAAATGGAGGAGAAACAATATTAAGAGATACAGCGGCTGAGGAAAGACCCCTCGGATCCAGGAAGCACCCCATGTCCTGAGCAGGATAAATACTAAACTGGAACACCAGTTGTCTCTAAACTGATAAAGGGCAGCTACTCAGATTACCTCCAGCAAATACCAGCTGGGGTGGAACGGCCTGTAATATTAGAAACATGTCTCCTGGCTTCTAGTCAATATTAACTAGCAGATCCCAGGTAGTGTCCTAAGTAAATACAAAGAAAAAAAAAAAGAGTAAAAATTTTAAGGGAAGACACCAAAGTATTATGATTCAACTCAATATAATGATCTATTGTTGGTGGGCAACCTCTTCTGGAGCTTCCCTGGTGTAATTGGAGGGCAGGGAGAGATGGAAGGAAGAGGCGGGCCACTCCAGACGGGTAGGTGGCTGATTGAATAAACCAGAGAAATTACTTATAAGGCTTTTCTTGGGCAGCCACAAGAT